ATTCACATTACAACTTAACTAACAGAAAAGTGGAATTGTGCGAAGGATTAGACATGAAATAACTTAGTCAATTTTTACAGTTAAATTCATATAGTCCATTGAAGATAAGGCACCATTGAAAACCTAGAAGCACTCAACAGCCGTGTCGTCCTAGTATGAAAACGCTCGGTAGTTCATATCCACAATTCCACACATGAGACTCGAACCAAGTAATTAATCAAAATCATTGACTGACAATATCTCATTGACTAGGGAAATTAATGGATAATACTCATTTCATTCGACAATACAGTACACTTTCTACAATCAATCCATTCATTAAGATTTTATGAAACAATGGATGTTAATCTTGTCTGACAAACATCAGTTTTGAAGATATAAATCGTGTAAAACCGAGATAATTAATTAGAAATGAGAGAAGTCATGACTCACTAATAATCATTTGTGTTTTTATAAAATTCGTAGAGTGGTGTTTCTTTCGTTGGTGTGCGTATGTGAGTGTTAGTGTACGTGCATGAATGTGATATACAGTGATAGTGATCGACAATGTAACGTTGAATAATGTTGTGTTGGATGTTACTTATGTTGGAAAATATAAGTAGTAGGTAAGGCGAATTGGAAGTGCATGACATAGCAACAGAAGATTGAGAAGATCGAATTGAAGTAAACATGCATGAGGGAACGATGAAATTGGTGAGAGACAACCGATTGGAGATGTGCAATTGAAGAATTTGATGTATAGTTTTCATATTTTAAGAAGATACTGTAATCTCGTATCAAATTATACATTGATCTTTCCCACCTGAGATCATGTTTATTTCAACGTAACAGAGATGAATGAGTGGAAATTGAATGACGATGGGAATAGAATGGAGAATATTGAGTGAGAGCATGCAAAACAATTATATGACATTTGAAGCAGTGGTTTAGTAACAGAAATCATTCAACTCCTATCCAGTAGATTGTATGTTCGAGTCCCGTTTCATCTCCTTTAGTTTAGGCATCCATGTAGTAGTATCAGTGTTCACATATTATTAAAAGATTTCTCTAATCTGAGTAAGTCGGTCTGCTGTATTCCACATAGAGCCCAGCACGCAAATGTTCATCAGTTCATTGTACACCACATCAGTACAATCCAATGAAATCACCATGATATGTGTCAAGCTAATAGGAATGATAACAGTGTCGATGTTAATAAGAAAATACTTGGTATAGATAGTACGAATGGCGAGAACGGGATGGACGGAAGACAGTTACTGAATGTATCTGTGGTACTATGATCGATTTTGAGACGTTACCATATCAAACTACTGTTTGTGATTATTGCACAGATAATAACCAACTAGTCTGCATCGATTAATATGGCACAGATCAACAGCCAGTGACCTTTAATGAAAAAATGTCGCATTTTCGTTTTGACCATCTATAGACTCCCTTAAACATCTCATACTTGACGTAAGTCCGTAAATAACGACAAACGTTTTTATAAATTTGTGCTTTCATTCAGTCAAACTCCAATCTCTCTGTAGTTAATAAACTTAATTATTTCACTTCTTATTACTAATTTAGGAGTTAATATCATTTAGTGAAAGAAACACTACTTACAAACGTTTCTATTATGCTTCAAGGCTATCAAAAAGACTTAAGTTTGTGATAATCAAAACTATGTTATCTAAGAATTGTAGGTCGATAAAAGGACATTCTAGTTGTTCAAAATCAACTATATAGAACTTTACTCGATTACATTAAAACAATAAATCTTTACCGTACCTATTCTCGTTTCTAAATGCGTAATTGTATCCATAGCTGAAAATATTTATATGAATAGTGTATTTCCTTCTAAGATGGTAAGAGCATTCACTGTACAATGTTTTCACATGTCTTATGAATTCGAAAAATCACCTTCTCATGAGCCATAAACTATTCTATTTCTTAATATTTTGATTAAGATTGTAAATGGATCAATATTAAACCAGCATTAAAAACCTGGAGTCACTGGATGGCCGTTTCGTCCCAATATAAAACTCCTTAGAGATGAGTATCCACAACGCTATACGCGAAACTTAATCCCAGGATATCCTGCCATTCAGTTCTTCCACGTTTTTAATAGTGGTCTAACATTGATTGATTCATTAACTCAATCATAAACTCAACAATCTCCACAATCCATATACTGATAATTAACATGCGCTCACTAATGACTAGCTGTAAGAGGTCATTCTTGAAGTTCTAGTGAGAGATTATGACCGGTGGAGTTAATCCGTGTCGAATATGTGGAAATTACTCATTGAAGTTATCCATTAACACTATTGGATACATGCTTAGTCATATAAATTCCTTTAAAACAATCACCATGGTATTGACATTCGATCATAGAAAGTAATTTAACTTATTGGTTTAATGGAAGAAAACTAAAAACTGGTTCATTTTATTCAATCAATATCGATTACAATAATCAATATACATATACATATATGTAATCATATTACATAATTGATTAGGGATTATATTCTGTTTGAATGAATGATCCTGTATATTATTTTAAATATATTCAAGGATTCTAATCTTTAATAGTAACCAAGTTAGTGATTATAAGAAGAATTCAATAATTGACAATTTTAAAAAAATAAAAAAACGAACCGGAACTACACCATTAAATATATAAATTAAATCTAATTATGGTCTGTTCTTCTCTTTTCTTTTCTTTATTTTTGTTTTCTTCTTTTTGAATTTAATGGAAGGTGGGGATTCAAATTCTTGAAATTAGTTCCTGTTAATAACTGGACATTGATCATTTGAATAACTGAGAGTTTAATAAATTCACTTGATGTTGTTTTACTTGTATCTTTCTATCAGTCTCTTGTTGGTATATGTGTATCTTGTGTGGATTCCTTCGATATAGACTTAAGTTAGAATATTTTTAAGTAAAGATGGATAGTGGATAGCAGTGGAATCCAGGACATGCGTTTCGTCCTATTTGGGACTCGTCATGTACTTGCATCCCAGAGTTGATATTTACTCTGAGACTCGAACCCAATAACGTTTGCTTTAAACACCATCGCATTATCCACTTAACTACTGAGTCCTCATAGCCACATACTTGTGCAATGAGGTGAAGTTTAAATTCACTTGATGTTGTTTTACTTGTATCCTCATATTGTTATTTAGGACTGCAATTGATCAGTCTCTTGTTGCTATATGTGCATTCTGTGCCGATTGCCTTGATATAGCTTTAAGTAAGAAAATTTTTAAGCAAATATGAACGGTGGTTATTTGGGACTCATTAGCTATAAGTGGATAATGCAATGGCGTTTGAAGTGAATGGTACTGAGTTCAAGTCCCATAGTGAACATCAACTCTGAGATGCGGATACATCCAGCTGACGAGTCCCGAATAGGACGAAACGTGTATGATGGATTCCATTGCTAGCCACTATCCATCTTCGATACGTTACATACTTACACTGCTTAAATTTCAAAGTCATCTGACTTCAAAAGCTGCTCCTCTAATGCTGTTTGATGATGATGAATTGTTTTCAGTGTCGTTTTGTAGTAATTGTTGAATTTAGATTGATATTGTGAGTGGGTGAATGTTAGACCACCGGTGAAAACCTGTAAGCACTGGACGGCCAGTTCGTTCTATTATGGGACTCATCAGCAGTGTGCATCCACGGTCCTGCTCGCGTGATTTGGACCCAGGGCCTTCAGTCTCGCGCGTGAACGCTTAAGCTCTAGATCAGTGAGCCGTCATACGACGGTGTTAATGTGTAACTTAAATCAATCCACGACATTGCGCGACCGTCCACAATTGTCTTCAGTGAGTACCCTATAGTGATCAGGGAGTATGCATTAAACAGTTATTTCATCCTAATTATAATTACTCATCAGTAACATTCATCAATACTTGAAATCCTAAAGGGAAACATTCAAGAGGAAAGTCAAAGAACAAATTACATCGGGAATTGGAAACAGACATAAAAAAATGAATAGCAACTGTAAACAACTGAAAACGATTGCCCAAGATAAAACTGTATGAAGAATGCTAGTGGGCGGACTATACTCCTCCACAGGAATTAACAGTCGTAAGTAAGTACGTCCTCATCAACAACCTCATATGAAGGTGAACTGAAGATATAGAGACAAAGAGGGAGAATGAAAAATAGATCAGTGACTTCCAAGCAAATGATCTACATATCAACTGTTTTTTGTTGGCGTCAACAATATAACACGTTGATAATATCTTACTTACTTACTTACGTCTCTTACTCCTCATGAAGGAGCTTGGGCCGCTCACCAGCATTCGCCATCCAACCCTGTTCTGTGCAATGCTTTCCAGCTCCTTCCAGTTCTTATTCATCCTTTTCATATCTACTTCTATTTCCAGATCTAATGTGTTCTTTAGCCTTCCTCTCTTCCGTTTCCCTTCAGGATTCCAAGTTAGGGCTTGCCTTGCGATGCAGTTTAATGATTTGCGTAATGTATGTCTTAACCATTTCCATCGTCTTTTTCTAATTTCTTCTTCAGCTGGAAGCTGGTTTTTTCTCTCCCACAAAAGGTTGATGGTATCCGACCAACAGATGTTGAGTATCTTGCGTAGACAACCATTTAAAAATTATTGTACCTTCTTGATGATTGTTGTAGTAGTTCTCCACATTTCAGCTCCATAAAGTAGAACCGTCTTGACGTTCGTATTGAAGATTCTGACTATGATATTAGTTGAAAGACAGTTGTTTTGAGTTCTATATATTCTTCAACTGTAGAAATGCTGCTCTTGCTTTGCCAATCCTTGCCTTTACGTCTGCATCTGATCCTCCTTGTTTATCGATGATGCTTCCCAGGTATGTGAAGGATTCTACATCTTCCAGAGCTTCACCATCAAGAGTGATTAGATTGCTGTTCTCTTTAATACTATCACAGTTATAACTAAATAATTCAATGACTTTATCAATATAATAAACAATATAATATGACAATGAAACATTGAAACATTGAATAATTTACCCATTTATAAATAGATTATTACGTTTATCATTTAACCAAAATGTAAAATTCATTGATGATGAAGATGATGATGATTTTTCATTAAATATGAATGATTTATTCATGGTATTATTATGATGTAATGAAGATAGATTACGTTTTATATCAGAATCATTACGTTTCTTTAAAATAGTTTGTTTATAATATTCTATACGATTTAATGTATGTTGAGCTTCTGGACAAAATTTTGCTATTTTTTGACATAATACATAAGTGGATTCTTCTTCTATCCATGTGAATATACTTCGACGTACTCCATAAAGAAGTACCGCTTCAACGGATGCTATAATACAAAATATATATATATATAATGTCATGGATATTAGTTAGGTCACAATAATATATATCAGGTGTTGTGGAGATTGTTAAGTTTTTTTATTGAAATCATGAGTCAATTGAAGCTAGATCACCATGGAAAACGTGGAAGCACTGGACGGCCATTTCGTCCTAGTATGGGACTCCTAAGCAGTGCGCATCCACGATCCCGCACCCCACGAGATTCAAACCCAGGACCCATCAGTCCCGTGCCTGGCACTTAACCAGTGATTTCGTGGATTGGTTGAGGTTAGACATTAACACCATTGGATGCGGGCTCAGTGGTCTAGTTGGTTAAGTGCCTGGCGTGAGGCTGATAGGTCCTGGGTTCGAATCTCGTGGGGTGTGGGATGCTCACTGCTGAGGAATCCCATGCTAGAACGAAACGGCCGTTCAGTGCTTCCAGGTTTTCCGTGGTGGTCTAGCTTCAATTGACTCATGATTTCAATCAAAAATAGTACATATATGCTTTATGATAGTCAAATTGAGATAATAAGGATAAGAGTAAGCACTGAATAGCTGTTTTTGTCCCAGTATATTACTGTTCAACATTATGGATTCATGAAAATTCTATAATCTCTATGACGTCCTATATTGGTCATAATCGTTTGCTCACTAGTGACTATTTTCAATATGTAATTGTTGGTGTTCTAATAAGAAATCTTGATCACTGGAGTTCTGACTATGTTGAGAGTAAAACAATTATTGACAACAGTCAATGGTAGATGATTTTATGGTAAGATACTAATATTGTTCAACATCAGCTCAGTTATCTAAACGTTGAGCATCCATATACGAGAAAGAAGGTCATGGATTTGATTACTTGTATCGGTGTCATAGACACCTACTATTGAATCCCATAATAGAACGAAACAGTTACTCAACACTTACGTTTTCCTAATGGTTATTTACCTGAGATTAATACGTGATTCAAAGCCTTTGATAATATAGAGGTCATTTTCCCTCATACACTTAACTATTAACAATACAGTAAAACAATTGAAAAATATAAACCAGAGACAATAATAGTATGTGAAGTTTTAAACAGTTGAGTAGAATGTCATAGATGTATGTTTTGTTAGGTTCTGGCGTCAAAAGAGAAATAAAGAAGCCAATGACAAACAACAGAAGCTATTTCAGGGGGAAATTATTTCACGTTATTCCAAGTGTGTAGAACGCTAACATTTAGTTTTGTCTCTAATTTATTCTATAAACCATAAGCTTTCATTTGATGTATGATTCACCACCATACCCTTGTCTATTCCAAAACTATAGTAATTTAAACGTAACCTTTGGTACTCTATTTTTAAACTCTAATGCTTGGTTCTAACATATCTGTATTTTCCCTACTGTTTATGCGTTGTGGACGTGTTATGGAGGTTGCAACTCACAAGAAGATTTGTAAGTTGTGTGTAGCAGAACATGGCGTCGAGGTCGCGAAAATTGTTGAACGAAGTAAAGAGTCTAAGCGCGTTGAAAACACAGCGTTGGCAGAACATTTGGAGGCCAGTCACGAAGACAATGAATCTAATCCGTGCGTATGTGAGACATTTACCCGCCGAAGACAATGAAAGATGGTTGCTGAATTTCGTGGATTAATTGAAGTTATGCATTAACGCTGTTGGATGCCGACTTAATGGTCTAAAGTTTAAACAATCGCGCGTGAGACCGAAAGCTCTAGGTTGGCATCCCGTGTGTGCAGTTGTGGATGTGCAATGTTGAGAAGTCCCACACTAGGACGAAACGGTTGTCCAGTGCTTCCAGGTCCTTAATGATGGTTTAATATTCGTCGATTCATTATATTAATCAAAAACCTAACAATCTCCACAACCTTATACTATCAATGATTGTATCTCAGACTATTAACACACAGAGTAACCAATTGGAATATTTTGAAGAGAATAAGACTTTGTTCAAAAGTATTAAACCAGCTTTCAAACGATTGCTTTTACAATGTTAAGTTGCATTTTAATCTAAATAACAGAAGTGATCATCATTAGGAACTAAACACCAGATGATTCTAGGTAGTATCACGTGCTTCATAGTTTACATTATGGACTGAACTTAATTAGAAAACTAATTAGAATTGGGCCGTACTAAATAAATGTTTCGTCCCAGTACAGGGTTTTCCATCAGTGCTCATACAAAACCCAAACAAGAATCGATATCACGATTCCCATTTGTCACAGTGACCAATTAAACGTTACACTCTTGAGTTAACAATCAATGATTTACATTCCTTACTCAACCCATTCGCAATATTTAGCAATTGTCTTTCAATGTTATCAAACAATGTTGAATTTCATTAGTCTGACTAATACTCCGAAAATTACCTCGTAATATAGAATATAAAATTCAACAACCTCCAAGAACCATTCACACTAATACTAAAAAATGGAATTATTAGGGATAAAACTATGCTATAATTATACTGAATTGATACTAGATTCACTGATTAATCGAATATAATTGTCCATCAAGGAGAGTTAATGGTTTGAATAAAACTCGATCCTTCATCTGAAATCATCCAGGCCAAAGGAAAAGAGGAAGATCAAAGAATACATCACGCCGAGAAATGAAAACAGACATGAAAAGAATAAACAACTAGAGAGGAAGGCCGAGGAACGAGTGGGTTGAAGAATGTTAGTCGGCATCCTATGCTCCATTAGGAGTAACAGGAGTAAGTAAGTAACTAACTACCATTACTCTAAAATCTTCTCTAATTCAATTTATTAAATAATAGCGAATAGAGGAAAAAACGTGTAGTGACTTACAACAAAGTTTACCAATTGTTTCACTATCTTCATGAACATAACCACGAATAACAGCTTCTTCCATAAGCATTTTTACCTTAGAATTAAATGAGAAGAGGAATAACACATTGCGAAATAAACACCATACTTTTTTATTTAAAGATTTATAATCCATTTAAAATAAGTCTACTATCACATGTTATTAGAAAAATCACATTATTCACTTATCAACAAGTTACCATCAGCTGATTTATCTAAATAGTAGTAGTAGTAGTGCTTATATTGAGAGATATAAGTAGTATGTATCAAGAATTGAAAGTAGTATTCTTAATGAAAGAAGAGGAACATGAGAAAATGTGAAAGAAAAGCAAAATCAATTCAAGTAGTAACAAGAATGGTAGAACGATAGAACTAGTAAAAGTTAATTCAAGAAAGATGTGTAAATAATGAATTCACTGTGTTGTTTTAGCCAGACCGAATCTGCTGGGTTCGAACCCCGTGTGTGGGATCGTAAGTGTACATTGCTGAGCAGTTTCATACTAAGATAAAATGGTCGTCTAGTGCTTTCAGATCATTAATAGTGTTCTAACATTGATGAATCATGATCTCAATCAAAATATAACAATCTATATAATCCTATACTAGAAATAATATCAAATCTGATCAATAAACTAGATGACTTACTTGTATCTTGACATTTTTCAAAAGATCTTCTTTAATATCTTGATCATTATTATCATTATTGTTATGAGCTGTAGAAAGAAAAACAGCTTTATCAATTTAAATGGTCATATCATATTGAAGTAAGTGATTGAATGTTATGCCTACACAAATATGATATTAGTTACTATTAGGCAGAGATGGATAATGGCTAGCAGTGGAATCCAGGACGCGCGTTTCGTCCTGTTTGGGACTCGTCAGCTGGATGCACCTGCATCTCAGAGTTGATGTTCACTCTGAGACTCGAACTCAGTACCGTTCGCTTCAAACGCCATCGCGTTATCCCAGAGTGAACATCAACTCTGAGATGCAGGTACATCCAGCTGACGAGTCCCAAACAGGACGAAACGCGCGTCCTGGATTCCACTGCTAACCATTATCCATCTCTGCTTATAATGCTTGTAAATTAAGGCAATATCGAGGCATACGCACAGTATGTACATATGCCAATAAGAGGCTGATCAACTTCAGTCCTAAAACATCAATGGGAAGATTCAAATGAAGCAATATCAAGTAAATTAGTTACTATTGTTCATTTGGAAATTTGAAACTGTTGAATGTCTTTGCATTTGATTTCAGTTAATCTGATCTTAATTTTGAAGTGATTATAAGTGATAAAGAGCTATCTGTTTAATTGCCATTCAGTGATAGACTGAATTTCTTTGAGAAAGTTATAATCCAGATAATTAAGTCAGTTCAACCGTCGAGTTTTAGAATACATAATCACCATAGTGATAATTATATTTTATAGTACAAAGTATGCTTGCTTCCTTGCTTTCAAATTACATAGGAGATCATATATCACATCAGTTACTTACTTACTTACGCCTGTTACTCCTCGTAAAGGAGCACAGGTCATCCACAGGAATTCTCCATACAATTCTGTAATGAACAATACTTTCCAGTTGTTTTCATTAGCTATTCATCCTTTTCATATCTACTTCTATTTACAGACCTAATGTGTTGTTTGGCCTTCCTCTCTTCCGTTCCCCTTCAGAATTCTAACTAACGGCTTGCCCTGTAATGCAGTTTGATGATTTCCTCAATGTATGTTTATCCTCTCCCACAGAAGTCTGTTGCTGATAATGAGTATCTTGCGTAAACAACTATTTAGAAATACTTGTGCCTTCTTGATGATTGTTGTAGTAGTTCTCCACGTTTCAGCTCCATAGAGTAGGACTGTTTTCCTGTTCGTATTGAAAATTGTGACTATGATATTGGTTGACAGACAGTTGTTTTGAGTTCCAGATGTTCTTCAATTGTTGGAATGGGGCCCTTGCTTTGCAAATACTCGCCTTTACGTCTTCATCTGATCCTTTTTATTCACCAACTATGCTTCCCAGGTACCTGAAAGATTCCGCATCTTTCAGAGTTTCTCTGTCAAGTGTGATTTGATTGATGTTCTCTGTGTTGTATTTGAGGACCTTGGTCTTCCCCTTGTGTATGTTGAGGCCTACTTATGCCACTTCAATAGCGAAATTATAAGGAATTTATATAAATAAACAATCTTATTACGAACCTTTCATTTAGGGGAGGCTGTAACTTGTGGGCTGGATCTTTAGTGTAGAGGCCGAAGTCCCATACGAATGAAGAGTCTCATACTAGGACAAAACAGATATGTAGTGCTTTCGTATTTTCAATGGTTATCCAATTCATGTCAATTTGTGGTCTTACATTTCCATTCAAGTTGTATAAAATACTAGTTACTACCTGATGAATCCTATACAACATTCATCATTTCAAAACGTCTATAAGTTTGTTGCTATATTCAAATAAAATATATCAACCATATCTTGTTAAATAATGAACCCCTTTTGTATCAATTTGATCATACCTATAAAGTGGTATAGATTATGTAATTGATAAGTAAGTAAGTAAACATTTCAATTCTACAGGTGATCTACTATGAACTGAATAGTTCAGTTATAATATCTTTGAATCATATACTGAATAACGTAGGTTAAGCATCTACATAAAGTACTAGTTCAATATTGTAGATTTATCTTCTTGGATATAAGTACTAACTGATGAAAAACTTCAGTTCATAGTTATAACTTGACTAGTTTCAATCATCTAAGATGAAAACAGTTCATGGGATTTCAAGTCATTTAGAATAATGGCCATATATGACAACTTAATCTATAAGATACAATTATAAATAAATATTACATAATACAAAAATGATTACAACTCTATGAACGTTTAGTACTCTTTATCAGCATTAAAAAATGATTTCTTCCAGGTTTTTAACATAATTCTAATAGTTTTTGATTGAGATTATGAACTGATTGAAGCTAGACCACCATGAAAAACCTAGAAGCACTGGATGGCTGTTTGGTCTTGTTGTGGAACTCCTCATTAGTGAACATTCACGGTCCCACCAGCAGGATTCGAACCCAGAGCCTGCAGTCTCATGGGCGGACGCTTAACTTGTAGACCAGTGAGCTAGCTGGCATCCAACAGTGTTAATAATCTCCAGAACTCTATAATGATAATTCTAATATGTAAAATATTATAAAGTTATTTAAAGTGGACAATTCATGTAGGAAAGTATAGGATTATTATGGAATTTCAACTGAAAAAAAAACATTGTAAACTGAGTATGATTTTAACTTGAAGTATTGACTTGAGACTGAATGATATAAGCAGCTGGTTTAATTATTAATATTTTACTATTCCAATAGGACTCAAACACAAAGGCTAAAAGATGAATAAAGAACACAACATAAACCATTGTTTTAACACAGAGTTTCTTTACTATTTTTGATATCTTTTCAGATCACTCAATCTGGTCAGTCAGTCAGTCACACCGTAGAATCTGGTACGTATGTACATTGGTTCAAGTTGCCATACCTCATTAGCTCAAAGAAATGAAATTTTCAGGCTAAATCCTGGAATAGTAGAAGTAGTAATAGTATCAATGGTATTAGAGAAGATCAAGCATCGAAGATACGATTCGAGTAGAAGATACAAATTAGTGGACGGAGAAGAGAAAACGTCATGAGGAATTTAAAGTATCAGAACTTGGGGAAAGATGAAAATTGGATGAACCTGGTCCATCGCAAACGAAAGTAAACATATTGATTACTAAACATTAAAGTGCTACAAAGCAAACTATCTAGCCTGACATGATGTCGTACCATCTGAAGCCGATGAGATGAGATGATAGATTGAATGATTTCATACACTTTAAATGTAATAAGCAATACCAGAAAAGACAAACTGTCATAGGAACAAGTGAGAAGTGCAAATAAAAGGGAAAGATTTCGCAGGTGACTTTTTCACTTATTCAAAGTTATAAACTACTTGTTCTAAATCTGTATAGACTGTTGAGCAAGCGATAAAAAAAGGCGTGTGAATCGAACTGGCAAGTCATAATAATATTCGAAAGTTGATGGAACGATCTAGAACCAGATTTGCAGCAACATGCGACCTGTCTATCATCCCCTGACATTTAGCGTCTATGAAGTTTGATACCGATTAAAAGCGGCAACATGAATCTTTTTTTTCTGAAAATCAGTGTCTCATAAAATCTCTTAAAGTATCCCTATTAAATTCAACGTGGATTCTACTCGATGCGATAATGAATTCAAGCCACTGAATGCATACAGAATTATAAACATAACAACTTTATCAAATATATATTTATCCCTATTAATATGATTGGAGATCACAGTTAATAACCCAACTTTTCAATTAAAAATATATAAAACAGAAGCAGTAACTAGGGGATTTTAACTGTATTTGTTGTGAGGCAATTACTGATTGAAGGCAATGGTGATATTAACACAATTGGATGCCAGCTCAGTAGTCTATTGGTTAAATATTCGCGTGTGAGATCCAAGATCTTGAGTTCAAATCTCACATGAAGGATCGTTCATACGCACTTATGGAGAATCTCGTACATGAATGAAATGACCGTCCAGTGCTTCATCACAAACTCTCATTCTTAGAATATCATAAGATTACTGAAACAACTAAATACGATGTGACAAACATTGTGACAAAAAAAACATGATTTTAAGACAAAACGAAGTTAATGGAAGTAGTTAAATAAAAATGTAATTACAATCTTAATGAAGATTACTGAGATTATTTTAATTGGTAGGGAGTACTCTTCCTAGGTCAACCTCAATTACGGTGATTCCATTCTTAGTATAGAATTACTCATTAATGAGTCTGCACAATCTTGCTACGGAGCAAAATAAGAATAATTAAATCTACCATTGATTGATCACTGACTAATAATCATTGTCGCTTTTATCTAATCAATTATTACTGATCGAATTCTATTGATCAAGTTTCAGTGTGGAACATCAGTACTGAATACATCTGGGATAATACAGACTACAGGTTTAGAAATAGGGACTATGATTATCTTACAAACATAAACAAGGTATTTTTTCCTCTTTTGACACAGCTTAAAAGTCCAACGATCGATGACTTTATCGATTGATATCATGTTTTGGTTCCACTGCAGACTGTCATTTTTTACGGCATCGTTGTGTAACTGTGGTGTTTGAACGAACTAATGATACCCTTGGTATTTGTTGAATGCTTGATTTCGAATTCTAAATACAGTACATTCGTTTGTGCTTATCTAGTACTTCTTGATTTGATTACGTTATTTCTGGGATTCTTAGTTCATGCTATAATTCAAAATACTTCTAATCATCATAGTAAAACAAACCCTAACCAAATGAATCAAAGTTATTTAGTACGTATACTTTGATATTAATACTTGGTGATTCCATAATGCGCAAACAAAATGCCTAAAAACAGTTATGATTGAAAAGTAATGATTTATTTATATTGATTCTTCGAAAAGATGAATTCTAACTTTAAAACTAAGCTTCTCTCGAGTAGCTGTTATGCGGTGTTGAGTTTATTGGATTTGACGTTTCATATCACTGAATGACTTTTAGTTAGATAACCTGCAAAACCCAGGTAGCCCTTGAGGGCCATTTTATTCTAACATATGTCTTCTAAACATTATCTACATGACTTGACGGTTCTGAAATCGATCACCTGT